AGCATCTCACAACATGGCAGCTGGCTTCTTCAGTGCCAGCAAGAGACCTAATCACAGAAGTGACACCCTATCACTGTTGAGTAGGAAGGCATCTCTAGGCCCTGCCCATGCTAAAGGACAGGGGATCACACAGAACACTGGAGGGCATCAGAATAGGCCACCGCAAAATGTGCCGCTTTGGCATAAGGATTATTTTGAGCTGAAGAAAATCAAGAAACAACGTTGAGAAAATCAAGAAAAAACCCCTCTCTGCCCTCCCTGAATCTGGCTAAAAGCTGGACATAATTTTCATTTGCGAAGCTGTCTCCCTCCCTCATACCAGGAGGAGGAAGAGAACTCATAGACTCATTGATTCTAAGCTCTTATCAGCCCAGAGACAGCACAGAGGAATCTACACAACAAACCTTACTAGACAACCCTTATCCTCCATGAGTTTCTCTCATATATTTATCTTCCTGGGTTTGCCACTCCTAAAACTATAAAACCCCTTTCCTTGTCTTGTCTCTTCTCTACATATATATGGTTGTTTGTTAAGATGGTATTGTCGATGAAAAAAACTATGTTGAGGAAAAAAACTGATAGTTGATCTAATAAAGAAATGGAAAATTTTATTCAAGCCAACCTGACGATTTTAATTGGGGAGACAGTCTTTCAGAAAGCTCTGAGGACTGTTAAAGCCCAGTTCTATAAGTTTCTGAGACAAACGGTTATACGTCAGATGATGTATTATGTACAGTTTATACAATCCAGATGTGCACATACAAAGCAAGCAGTGGGTCATCCTGACTCTGTAAGATTAAGAAGGCATGGTTATCTCCTAAGGAGGTCTGGTTAACGCAGGGGCGAAATACACTCTAAGGGGTAGTGAGGAGGCCCAAATGAGCAGAGAAAAAAATGGATGTTTAAATTTTTCTTATCTTGCCATAAAATATGTATTTTATTTCATTGCATGACTACGTGAACACATCAGAAGGGGCCCGAGAACACTTAAGCTTCCGTAGTTTCATCATGAATCTGCCTGTGAGCAGAAGCCATCATTACTAACTGGGCTGCTCCAGAAAAACGTCCCAAAGGAGGCAAAAATTTGGAAATTGCCTTAAAGACCAGGCAAGTTCAATAAGTGGAGGTGGGGGACAGGACACTCCAGGCAACGAGGAGAGCACCGGTACTTTCAAGGGAAGAGCG